ATCCATCCATCCATCCATCCATCCATCCATCCATCCATCTATCTATCTATCTATATACATACAGTTATTTCCTGCTAGAAATGCCATAACTGCAGGTAAAAAAGAATGAGTGAGTGATGAGAGTGTGGTAAGATGACACCGCTTGTACAGCTCTTGTGTAACTCCAGACACAGTGTCTCCACATGAGCACACTGGACTCATCAGACCTGCTGTCCTCTGGCTGCAGTCCACAGGGAGCTGCTGTCACTGACTAGCCGACAGGCCTGATGAGACAAATGGTTATGTAAATTGTAATATGAGCTATTTAAAGTTATGAAGGTGTAGAAAAGTTGCCAAATTTAATTTCACTGCAGTAAAGGGGAGGTCTAATGTGATTTCATGCATTCTGACTTATCTGGAGCTGCTCTCGTACTGCTTTTAGCTGGCGAGTAAAGACAGAAATGACATTATATAAGAGTACATATATGAATACTGTCCATCTATAGTTCAAAACTTAGCAAGCTATTTTCACTGCCTACTGTACAAATGGGCAGCATCCAAACCCTCACAGCAGGCTGATTTTGAATGCACTCATTGGCAACATGTTAATGTCAAACCATATTACGCTTAAGCACAACACCTATTAAAGGGGTGGCCTAATGCCATTCCATGCATTCAGTTATTTACACTGTTAAAGAGTTGGATTCTCATGCTAAACATGGACAAAGTTTCAAAAAACAAGTTGGACGTATGACAGAGTATTTCTGTGCCAAGTACACTCCTTCAGGGTTCATATATATTTGGGAAAGATTTTTTCGAGTATGGCCCTGTATGACGAGCGAGAGCAAGAGCAGCCCATCAACGGCCCTGTCCCAAATGGCACACTTCATGTGCACTTTCGGTCTTGAGGACTCACAATGGCCGCTGCGTGCGCATGCCTGTTAAGTCCACGAGACCGTAGGGTGTCCCATTCCTCATTTTAGCTTTCATAAGTGAAACATCATCGTAAAACATCTTAAAAAATAAAAAACATATAAAACAATATACAGTCCAATCAAATTTCTAAATAAAAATCATTTCCCCAAAATATATCCATTTTACATTTGCAAACTGTTATTGAGTATTTTAACTGAAGAATAGAATAATTAAGATTTATAAATCTGGCAACATACTGTACCATCTACCAGAGGGTAACAACTTATACTTTGTATGTGTATTACTTTTAGAAGTGACTTAAGTTCCCAAACATTAATAATAATCAATTACCTCATTTACATCCGGGCTTAAAAATCTGTGAAGCTTCGAAGCGTGTTAGCAGGTTAAAACTGTTCAGAACAACCACTGACATTCAACAAATGTAAATCCAATTGATTCAATCAGCATTAGAGATCATTAAATATCCATATAGAGCCCCTGAGCACATCTGAATAACCAATCTACATTATAATAGACAGCAGTGACCTTTCCATCTGACCCCAATCAATATACCTTACTGTAAGTCTCTTCCTTTATAATTACACCAAAATGGCTTTTAACCATTTTTACCAAATCAGATCCATTCTGTGGCCTTCCTCTCCCAATGGCAAAACAAGAAGAAATGTAAAATTCTACGCTTATATAATGCTTGCATATGAAATATTCTGTAAGTATGCCAGAGCAGTATGCTTCATTTTGTCAATGCTTGAATGAATGTTACATTCTCAGATTAGATACTCTTGTAAATGCATTTCGGAGATTGATGTGGAAGTAAAGAAATTGTTGAATAAAGTTTTTATTAATTCATTAATTTATGTTAATTTATTTATTTATTATATTTACACATAAAAATCATTACTGTGACCTAATGAAATTAAGGTTGAACCAATGGAGTCACATGGACTACTTCAATGATGTCTTCACTTTTCTGGGCCTTGACAGTGGTAGTTGTGTGTAGGCTGTTAAAGAAGGGACAGAAACCTCTCAGATTTCATTATAAATATCTTCATTTGTGTTCCAAAGATGAACGAAATTCGGAAACAGGTTTGGAACAACATGAGGGTGAGTAGTTAATGACAGAATTTTTGGGTGAACTACCCCTTTAAATGGATTACTCTCTGCAATGTAAAGAAAACGTATTTGCATATCATTTCACTTTCAAATATGTATGAACATGTTTGAATTTATGACTGTATTTTTCTCTCTGTATATCTGTGTCTCGCTCTCTCTTTCATGTTGCCTTAATAGTTCCTTAAATGTCACATCTCAAAATAACAGAGGCTCTGATTGGCCCCGGAGCAAACGTCCTGCCCAGCCTCTCAGCCTGAAGCTGACATCTTCATCTCAGGGATGAGTACATGCACTGAGGAAGACGTCTTGGAGTACATTGACTGCCTGTGTTTCTTATATCTGTTTAATTAAGTGCAGTAACAGTGAACACTACAGGCCTGAAGCTTAATGAATCAGTGACACTGAGCTGAGATTGATTCCTTCAGGACAGCTGCAACACCACACTGGCAGCTCATGTCAGTGGCTTACATCACATTATTTGGCTGTGGTCATACCATAGATTTTTTTTTTTTTTTTAATAATTTTATTAATTGTTATTCAAGGTTGTTTTCCATATGTGACCCTGGACCACAAAACCAGTCTTAAGTCGCTGGGGTATATTTATAACAATAGCCAAAAATACATTGTATGGGTCAAAATTATAGATTTTTCTTTTATGCCAAAAATCATTAGGATATTAAGTAAATATCATGTTCCATGAAGATATTTTGTAAATTTCCTACTGTAAATATATTAAAACTTAATTTTTGATTAGTAATATGCATTGCTAAGAACTTAATTTGGACAACTTTAAAGGCGATTTTCTCAATATTTAGATTTTTTTTGCACCCTCAGATTCCAGATTTTCAAATAGTTGTATCTCAGTCAAATATTGTCCTATCAAACCATACATCAAAGGAAAGCTTATTTATTCAGCTTTCAGATGATGTATAAATCTCAATTTCGAAAAATTGATCCTTATGACTGGTTTTGTGGTCCAGGGTCACATATTTGCTTTCACATTTTGAATTAAGCAGGCTTTGAACGTAAAATGAGTAAAGCTCTAACTTGCAGGTTGTGCGTTTTCTGCCAGCTCTAAATTGGGGGTTATGTTGTATACATTTCCATTTGCAAATGTAACATGAATTAAATTTAATTATCATCATAAATGATTTTTTATTCATCTTGGTTAATTTATAAATATTTTTTTCCAATTATTAGATCATGTTAGTTCATTATGGTATGGTGCTACATAACTTAAAACTGACGATAATTGAGACTAATGATTCTGAAAGAAAACGCGCAACTTAATGCACATCTGATTGACAGATAAACTATGAAAGCCTGTTTCTGCCACTAAATAAAAAAAGCTAATTGTGTCTTTTTAACAATTCTGACGTTTTCCTCACAATTCTGAGTTTATAGCTCATAATTCAATTTGTTTCTTGCAATTCTAAGAAAAATGTCAGAATTGTAATGTAAACTGGAAATCCAACTTTCTCGCAATTCTGACTGTTTTTCCTCATAATTCTGAGTTTACATCTCACAATTCTGTTTTTTTTGTAAGTTTCCACCACAGACAGGTTTTGACTTTTTTCTTGCAATTGTGCATTCATATCTCAGAATTCTGACAATTAATTGTAAGATTATATCTCACAATTTTGAGTAATAATCTTACAATTGAGAGTTAACATCTTTTTCTATATTACAATTGGGACTTTTTTCTTTGCAATTCAGCATTTATGTCTCAAAATTCAAAGTTCATATCTTGCAATTCTGAGTTTACATCTCGCAATTGTGACTTTTTTTCCCTTTAGGGGAAAAAAAGGGGGAAATAAAGGGGTTAAGTGTTGCTGCTACCCCGTGACAGCCGTCTGTCTCCCTGACTGAACATTTCTACCTTACGCAACACAAATTGAAAGCCAGGTCTCCTGTTTTGTCCTCCGGAAATTTAACAGCTCCCGCAGAGAAAATGAAACACCTTGTAGTTACATCCTAACCAGACTAGAGCGACAGAAAAACAGAAGCTTTTGCGCCCACATCCACCACGTTCTCAACACAAAGGCTTCTTGAGGACAGCTATGCTTCTGCTAGCTGTAAGAATGGGCATATGACAGCTCACCTGTCAGACGAAGGACTTGAGATATCCCATAATCCCTTTCAGACAAGGCTGTACTGTTGCTACAGGAACTCGGTGCATCAATGGCCTGAGGTTCCAACCCCTGGAGATCTTCTTAGTTAGCCATGCATTTCTGCACACACAGATCAGCCCTGGAGGTCACCGCATTAGCCACACACTATCACTTCAACGTGACATATGTTCGCAAGATGAGCGGCTATGTGTTGTGTTGAGGACATAAAACATATATTGTGCTGTGCTGAAAAATTACGAATTAAACTTTTTATTGTGTGCAGTACAAGACATCTGAAAAGAATAAACTATCATTGCAGCAATGCATTTTTTCCCCAATCAGCTTTATGTAAAACTGCTCTTCAGAGACGTTCAGCTGGCGACATCAGTGCTGTGAAAACCTCTTGCTCCCTGAAGTGCATGCAGTTTTTGATTCTGTAACAAAAAGGAGAGAAATATGTTAGAATCTGGCTTTATGCAATAACAACAAATCAATTAAATTGCAAACATCGCAGATTAACACAAATGACATCATTGATTTGTTGGGTCTGTAACATATAAGGTGTGAGTACTTGTATTATATGCATTTTTTTGTGTCACAACAAATAATCACAGTAAGCTATACATGAATGAATGAATAGAAATAACATTAATATTATAATATTATCAAAAAAAATATTATTAATCAAATAAATAAATAGGGTTAGTACTTGCATCATTTGTATTTTTTGTCTGTAATAATAACAATAAAGTTATAAACAACAAATAAACAAACACATTTAGAACAACATGTTTCAATGCAATGCTGGAAATAAGATTAGCCTAAAAAAAAATTAATAATTTATCACAAAACAAGCAATTATTAAAAGTTATCCGCTCAATAAATACCAAAAATGTATTGAGAATAAATTGGATAATAACAAATAATAACAATAGTTATAAACAAACAAATAAAATACATTTAGAATCACATGCTTAACATGCTTTTCAATACAATGATGGAAATAAGATTAGCCTTTAAAAAATCTTTAGAATAATTACATAATTCATTACAAAATCAGCAATTATTAAAAAAAAGTGTTTTTATCTCAATAAATGCTAAAGATTTAGATTCAGTACTTGTATTATTAGTATGTTTTGTCTGTAATAACAGCAGATAACTACAATAATAAATCAGTCAATCAAACAATCAATCAATAAATGTTTTTAAATAATGCTGGAAATAAAACTTAAAAAAATGTATATTAATCAATTTATCACAAAAATCAGAAGTTATTCAAATAGTTATTAGATGCAGTTATAGCAAGGGAATAATTTTCTCCTAATAAAAATGACTTTTCCCTGCGATACACGTGTTTTTACATCGCTGCTTGGACACAACCAAAATGTCGGAGGTGTTGGTTTCGTAAGATGGAATAGCATGTCCTCGGCGTATTTTCCTGATGAGTCCTCTCTCAGGCCCCATTGCACTGGAATAAGTGACTGCTCACACCATTCTGAATTTTTCATTGGCCCCTGCAGTTCGAGACTCACATAGTCTCACAGGTGTCTGCTACAAGAATGTGTGTGTGAGAGAGAGACAGGTCACCTGATCTCAACCCAAATCAGTTAGACAGTCATTCTAGACTTTAATCGGATCAGGTCAAGAAGTTTTGACCGACAAGGGCAAGTGTGGGAACCAGAGACGGATTATTTGTGTGAGTGACTCTTGTGTGTTTATATACCATCCATCCATCCATCCATTCCTTTTCTAGTAAATAAGTGGTTAAGTGAATGTCTCTTTTCTGTATTTATTTCATGGCGTGAGTTTATGTGTTTGAGAAAGTAATTTGTTTAAACAGCATGATGTCTTCTAGTGTTTCAGAGCGGGATGTGGAAGACCAGTGTGCACAAACTCGGTCCTGGAGGGCCGGTGTCCTGCAGAGTTTAGCTCCAACCCTAATCAAACACACCTGAACCAGCTAATCAAGCTCTTACTAGGCATACTAGAAACTTCCAGGCAGGTGTGTTGAGGCAAGTTGGAGCAAAACTCTACAGGACATCGGCCCTCCAGGACCGAGTTTGGACACCCCTGCACTAGAAGGTCATTTGGTTAAAGGATGTTTACCCAAACGTTCTGTGTTGTTTAGGTCCAATTGAACCCTGGAATGTATAAGGCAAGCCATCTATCACATCATATTGGAACTGAAAGTAGCATAAACTGGATGCAAAAAAAGACCATATGTGTTAGAAGCAAAATAAACTTTTCTATATGAAATCATCTGCTACATGACTAATCTCTGTCATATAGAATTTCCAAATCAATATAAACCATATTTAAAAGTTAATTATAATTTAATTGATTTAAACAGGTGGGCTCCCCTGTTGGTTAGGTATGTTTTGAAGCATGGCAGCTGTTTCCAGCTGGTTTAAGCAAGTCCTAGTTCGTCATGAGCTGGTTTAAGATGGACCTGAGCTGGCCCTGAGCAGAAGCTAGTTGCTCAACCAGCTTAGGACCAGCACATGACCAGCTTAAACCAGCTGCCATGTTTCAAAACATACCTAACCAGCATATGCCGTTTTTTTTTTTCAACAGGTCTATCCTATAATAAAAATGTTTCAAAAGAAAAACCACATTCAAAGCATGTTTCACAGTGAAAATACTTTGGCATTAAGGGTTCAAGAGCAGTTTTAGGCTCTAAAGATGAAGGTCTTAATCTAACCACTCAGATCTGAGAGGTTTTACACAGTCAAAGCACTAGTCACTTTACACAGAGAGCTCCTGTAGCCAGACACAGTACGATTGCAAGGGAGGCTTTCATCTACTGCCCTCAGGTTAGTTATGGAAAAGTTTTTAGACTCAAGCAAATAGATTTCTTTTACAGATCTTGATAGATTTTTGACCTCAGTCTGAAGGTACATTATTCAGACAAACACATACATAATTTATGGTCTGTCCATCTGCCACTCTCTCTGGACTCTCTTGTTTCTGGCTTTCAACCCATTTCTTCCAGGTATTGACCAATCGTAGATAAAATTGCCCACCTCTGTAGTCTAGCCACAGGAAACCGCATCACTCTGTCCCTCTGTCCAGTCCAGCTTTATGCAACATCTGCTGAACAGTGGTTTGATTTCTCCATATAATCATCTGTGACTAAATGACAACCAAACATGAAGGGCATCCGTGTCTGTTTTATAGTGCCCACTCTCTTTTTTTCCGGAATAATTTTGCATTCTTGGTAATCGTGAACATCTGGTGATTGCCATCTGCTGCAATGATGTGTGGATGGGACACAGAGATTATAAGACTAAAAAAATATATTAATGTTGGGGTTCAGGCTGGCAGGGTTATTTAGAGACAGCAGAAGGTCAGAATTGTTTATAAATACAAATAATTACAAATATACATATTCTGTATTAGCAAAACAACAATCCACAGAAGCCTATTCATGCTTACATACTTTTACTTATTACAAATGACTGGAGGTCACCAGGTAATACTAATCCCGTGCGAATAGGGCTTATGACTATTTCTTACCAAACACTATGATGTAAGATTCACAAAGATGGAATTTATAGCTGGGCTGCCATTTATCTTGTCCAAGGCCAAAAGAACGTCACATATGGAGCCCTGAGCAATGGAGCAAAATAATGAGTCATCTTTCACATTTTCAACATCCCAATGTCTTTATAATTGGAAAAAGCCAAAGTAAGCTTTCAAACATGGTGTTAAAGGTGCAGTATGTAATATTGACAACTAGCGGTTGAAATTAGTACTGCAGTTCAAATTAAAAATATTATTTCTCCCACCCCCGCCCCCTCCTCCTCAGACTCGATGCTCATGCTGGTTGTCAGATTGAGGACACGCAACTGGAACGAGCGCAGCTGACAATGGAAGGCAACAAGCCTTACACTGCAAGTTTATGAGTTGATTTATCTGTGTTTTAATATGAAATACTTTTATTCAGCAAGGATGCATTAAATTGATTAAAAGTGAATTTAAAGACATTTGTAATAAAAAAAATAAATAAATTTGTTTCAAATAAATGCAGTAACTTTATATTCATTACAGAAAACGATCATGGTTTCCACAAAATTATTAAGCATTGTTTTCAATATTGATAATAGTAATAATAAATGTTTCTTGAGCAGCAAATCAGCATATTAGAATGATTTCTGAAGGATCATGTGACACTGATAATAACTAGAGTAATGATGCTGAAAATTCAGCTTTGCATCACAGGGATAAATTATATTTTAAAATATATTACAATAGAAAACAGTTATTTTAAATTGTAATAATATTTCACAATATTATTATTTTACAATAATTGTAAAAATTGCCTTGGTGAGCATAAAACATTTATTTCAAAAATATTAAATCTTACTGACCCCATCTTTTCATGATCAGATTTTATTGATCTGATCAATAAAAAGGAATAGTGACCATGTATATATTCTCCCATAGAAAGACAGAGAGAGCTGGGAAAGTACCAGGATAAAAGGATGATGAAAGGATGCTGCTGCTGACTGAGCATTATGATCATTAAATCATAAGAGGTATTTCAGAGAGCGCTGAGAAAAACACAGGAATATTAAAACTCCTCTCTGACTGACTGCAATGCAGAGAAACAAATAAAGAGAGAAATATCAGAAAAACCAAAGCTCTCCCTTCAACCACTGTTGATAAACGATTCAATTAGTTTAAAGGCGAAGCGTGTCTTTTTGTTCAATGTCCTTTGTTACTTTATCTCGCTTCAGTTTAATATACAGAGAAAATGTCACTAATTCTACAAGCTTACTGAAAGAATACAAGAATCAAATAATTTGATTGAATAAAATCACCTTTTGGAATCTTTGTTAAGTTGTTCTGTTTGTATTATATAGGTTACATCATTACACATGGGGACTTACAAGTGCATGGAATTGAATCAGAAAGATTAATTCCCTTAAAGGGGTCATAGGATGCCCATTTTCCACAAGTTGATATTTTATAATTGGAAAAAGCCAAAGTAAGCTTTCAAACATGGTGTTAAAGGTGCAGTATGTAATATTGACAACTAGCGGTTGAAATTAGTACTGCAGTTCAAATTAAAAATATTATTTCTCCCACCCCCGCCCCCTCCTCCTCAGACTCGATGCTCATGCTGGTTGTCAGATTGAGGACACGCAACTGGAACGAGCGCAGCTGACAATGGAAGGCAACAAGCCTTACACTGCAAGTTTATGAGTTGATTTATCTGTGTTTTAATATGCCTCTGGTCATAGAGCTTTTTAGATGGATGCCGAGGCTTTTTAGGTTGGGTAGAACCTGCGATGTCTGAGCCAGTTCGTTTGCTGCCTTCAATGGCTTCAATATGCTGTGTTTTCCACCAACTGGCAACCCGGGGATTTCGAAATACTATTTGTTAAACTCGCAGTGAGTTTCCCCTTAAATTCATTTTCCCATAATGCCTTGCAACCACCAGGACAGAGCAAGCGGAGCTGAAGACCACCAGGGCGGAGCAGGCCTAGCTGAGGACCACCACAGCAGAGTAGACGGGACCGAAGATCCCTACGGCGAGGCAGACGACCACCACAGCAGAGCAGATGGGACCGAAGATCCCCAGGGTGGAGCTGAAGACCACCAGGGCAGATCAGGTGAAACTAGAGACCACCAAAGCTGATCAGGCAAAACTGAAACACACAGCACATGTAGGTTAGAAACAGCCCCTGTGGCCGTAACATGACAGGCAGAGAGCTCAGGGACGACCTCCATGGTCGTGTCGGGTTAAGCTGAGGGTTCAGAAATTGGCCACCTTGGCCGTGACAGAACAGGCAGAGAGTTCAGGGACAGCCTCCTTGGCACCAACACAGGACTGAGCTCCGGGGCTTGAGTGGACTCTAGCACAGATTTACGGACTGGAGAGGATTCATGGACTGGAATGGGAGTGGACTCAAAGGCTGGAGTGAGCTCTGGCGCTGACTTGTAGACTGGAGCGGGATCTGGAGTGGACTCGTGGACTGGAGCGGATTTGTGGACTGGAGCACACTCTGGAACGGATGTATGGACTGGAAAGAGCTCAGGAGTGGATTCACAGACTGGAACAAGTTCTGGAGGAGTAGTTGAACAGTGTGTAGCCCAAAAATGCAAGATGACTACCGCCATTACAGGAAGGGTAGTGGAAGGTGGGAGAACCTCTGAGAATGCCAGGCTTGAGAGCACTGAGGCCGTGGAGCTGGGGATGCCAGCCGTCCACGAAGAAATATCATCAAGCATATCTCATCTCAACAAGTCATGTGTGTCAGGAAAACCCATAACATAGTCCTCACTGGAACATGTACCTTGGCGGAGAAGCATCATCTTCACTGCTGGATCCATTATTGGCGAAGTCTTCTGTTTTCTGTTTTCCTGTTCTTTGATTACTGCCCGTGTCCTGGATTTCTCTTTCCTGTCTTGCCCCCCGGATCTGTATGTCTGTTTGGACTGATTACCTGTGCTCTGACCTACTGCCTATTTCATGGACTGAGACTTTGGATTGTGCTATCAATAAACTGCATTTGGATCCTCAATCTCCGTGTCCATGTGCAGTTCATGACAATCTAGCTGTGGCGTTGTTTTTCGGAGAAACAAGTATGTGAACTTTGCATGTTTCCTAAATTCCTGTGAATGTATTACGGTGTTTTTATGCTTTGGTACAGTAAAAAAAAATTACATACAGCACCTTTGTGACTTGGTGCCTGTATAGGCCTGGTATTAAGATGCATTTTCGTTGAACCAATCACAAGTGGCCGATGCTAAATACAGGTGTAAAAAGGGTTTAAAAGATTTTGAGCTTGTCCGTTTTCGACCACTTCCAGAGGTAGTCGAAAACACATTTGCCCGGATTGTGTGGTCAAATGTGTTTGAACAGACACTAAAGACCGCCTCCACTGCCTACCAACCTAATTCTTAAAAAAGAACAAGAATTAGTTTGACATTCTTAAACAATAATTAGTTTGAAGGCGAAAAAAATGTAAAAAGCATTTTTTCACTTACCATTCCTGATTTTAACACGAACCCACAGTGTTCGGCGTAGTTTTGCGGCTATCAAAGTCGAAACAAAAGCTGCTGCTCTTCTTATAATTTTGCGTTGTCTCCTTTCACATTCATATGTAAGTAGCATGAGCTTATTTCCGATTTTGGATTGAAAGATCAGAAAAAGCCGATACATTCATAGAGTACAACCACCTGCAAACCCTCCTCTCAAAAAAATCAGTAAAGTTGGTAGAAAGTGGACAAAAGAGATGGATTAAAACACAAGGTGTAAACGGGAATGTGTCTCCCTCATCTTCTTGTGATCCAATTGACCAAAACATATCTTATTAGCAGGTGTAAACAGGGCCTTAATCATAATCGTTTAGCTTTAACAGTTTTGTTAACAAATCAAGCATATCTGCACTATCATACAACAACCAATGCAAAAACCAGCCTGGAAGGTTTGGCTATGAGAATAGAGTGCTGCAGCTATGACGTATGTTTGTTGCCCAAAACCCGGAAACGAGTTAGCATTTTGACAAAGTCAGTTGGTCTCTCTGTTTTTTCTTCTTCTGATATTTATACAGAATACATCGGTAACTTTTACTTATTTTAAAAAATACGGCTGTTAACAAGTGGCTAAATTGGACTACAGCGGTTGTCCGGTGCATTAAACACACACATTTCAGTTCAAACAACTTGTAAAAGTGCATGTAGCATCCTATGACCCCTTTAAAAGATTTTTTAAAAACACCACTATAAACATTCCTCTAGTGGTTTGAAGGTTCAGGGGAGACAAAAATCTAATAAATAAAAAAGCTCTGTATAAAAACAATTGAACTTAATGGAAAGCCCTGATAGAAAAAACACGTGTGTCAGTGTTTGCTCTGGTCTCTGTAAGAAACCTAAGAGGATGACACTGTGTTCTGTGAAAATATCTAAGAATGACACATAATCATTAGTGGGATTGTGGCCATTGACTCCCTGTTGCTTAGTCATCAGGGCAAGAAAAAGTAGACATCAGAAATCAATGAAAGAGAAACAAACAAAGAGCTACGGTTTCTTCAAATGTCCAGGAGCCTAAGGCCATAATATCTGTTCCTCTCGACCACAGGAATATGGAACATATTACTCATTCACAGAAAGTTCAGATTTGTGTATTGTCATTAAAAGTAGGCCTATTATTTGTGAAGTTTAGGGTGAGGGGTTGAAAGTGATACCTCAGAATTGATTCTATAGCCCTATTCGCACGGGATTAGTATTATCTGGGGTCCTTGAAACGAGTTAGCATTTTGACAAAGTCAGTTGGTCTCTCTGTTTTTTCTTCTTCTGATATTTATACAGAATACATCGGTAACTTTTACTTATTTTAAAAAATACGGCTGTTAACAAGTGGCTAAATTGGACTACAGCGGTTGTCCGGTGCATTAAACATCGTCATGTCGAACAGGCAAACTCTGTTCTGTTCACTATTTTTTTTTTTATTAAGCCTGAAAGAGTTGTCAGAAGCTTGTGTAGTTATTTTATAGACTACATTTAGCTTTTTACTTCGGGCAGTTGTATTTTGGCTTAAAAAATCCTAGTTGTGAACAAAATGTGTAAAAATCATAAACTATGTTGGTCACAGTGCTTATTTTCTGCAATAATCCAAAAGCCAATGGGAAAACAGGATAGAATGCTTGAGAGAGCAATAAATTCTTTGCATGTTGTCTTATAGCGTATACAGTGTTGTATTAAGTCTTTGCATAGTCGCCTCATTTGTTTTCCCTGGCCCATATACGTTGTCTTACACGATTTTTGTCGTCATAAGCTGCAAGGCCATAATTCAGCAAGTGATGTATCCACCAGAGCCTAGATAACTACATCATCAATCATACAGAGGCTTCATGCCGTTTGTGCGTAGTTTGGAAATCTGCACATTCAACAAAACCAACTTTACCAGCTAGTCTGCTGTACCCCTGATGCCCCAATTTCTGTCTCTCCACAGGAAGTCATCATTGTGTGAGGTTTCATTCTCATCTCCATAGCAACAACGTGTTTTTTTTTTTTTGTGTGTATGTTTGATTTTGTGGAGAGCGTATTTATTAATTAATCTGATTGCCTCTTGTAGTTCAGACAGAAATCATTATGCTTATTCAGATCCACCCTGGTGGTAGATTAAGCCTTGCTCATTGACCCTGTTGTTTTCCCCAACACATTCATCTCCACAGTTGTTTGGCTGCTCAGGGAATGCATGTGAAAATGAAATATTGGACCATCTCGAGAAAATCTTAATCACACTTCAACACAGGAAGCAGAACGCTGTTGTTTGCAGAGACGGGACCCTGGTAAGTCAAACCCTTTGGTTGTATGTGAGAGGCAGGTGAGGTGGCTTGTGTTTCAGTTGCGTGTAAACACATCCCAGGTCGGTAACAATGAAAACGGGCACATGGTAATCCAAGCAGCCCAGCCCGTGCCAAGGTCTGCCCTCACGCTCACCTTAGTAAACACAAACGCAAAGCTGCTTTATCCACGATAAAATAATATGCCTGAACTATGATAATATTTCAAAATGACAGCACGCAGATCTGATGAAGCAGCATAATCAAGAAAAGGCATATAGGCTACAAATTCGCTAATGTGTCCAAACCAGTTTCCAACGGCTGTCCACATCAAGTGGAAATGCTATGGTAAAAAATGAATTTACATATATTTGAAGATTATTTTGGAATTTGGAGCAGTAATAACATTGCTTGTTACAGTATCGGTTATACTAAAAACTCAAATTAACATGGAAAAGATTTCTAGCTGTTTTTAGAGATTTTTAACCACATCACACCTGGTCAGGGTATAGTATAAAATCATTTTAATTTGAAGGATGCATCATCTAAAATGGGCCAAATTCTTCAGTAACTCTCTCCAAATCCACAATCATTCCACAATAAATTCCAAAAATACGATTTGGCGAATATGTCAGTCAATGCAATCACGATTCCAGCTTAAAAAGGTCTATCATACCTGAAGAAAGCTTACTATAGAAGTTAGCATTCCCATCCACCTCAATATTCAATTGAAAATACCATACACATTACCGCTAAAACATTTTGGGATTGAAAAAAAAACAAACTCTCATGCTCACCAAGGCTGTAAAATTAGAGTAAAAACAGTAATAATGTGAAATATTACTAAAATTTTAAATATTTTTTTCTATTTTAATACATACAAAAATGCAATTTATGTCTGTGATGCAAAGCTAAATTTTCAGCATCATTACGCCAGTCTTCAGTGTCACATGATCCCACAGAAATCATTCTAATATGCTGATAAAGAAAAAAAAATCTTGTTATCAGTGTTGAAAACAGTTGTACTGCCTAATATTTTCATACATATCATACATATTTTTTTCATGATTCTTTGATGAATAGAACTACTATTTGAAATAATAAGCTTTCTTATCAAAATAAAAGTCTTTACTGTCTTTTTTTAATGCATCCTTTCAAAATAAAAAAAATCTTCCTCACCCCACATTTTTTAACTGCACTGTATATAAATATATAGACCATGCTTTTATATGCTATGGTTGTAGCCTAACAATAAAAAACCATGGCA